AGCCTTTCTAAACCATCACTTTACCCTACATTGCGGGGATCACAAAAAAGATCTCCAAAATCTTGAATAAACACAAGATCCAGGTCCGTTTCAACACATTACATAAAATCCGTGATCTGGTTCCGTCTGTAAAAGATGTGATTCCGGACATACAATACCCTGGTGTCTACAAACTAAGTTGCCTCTGTGGTAGCAGTTACATTGGAGAAACCAAACGCCATGTCTCGGACCGCATTCGTGAACACAAAGCAGACCTTAAACACGGTAGGACCAACACCTCGGCCATGGCAGATCATTGCTATAATTCAGTAGGCTCACATGACATTGACTTTTCCAAGACAGAGGTTCTTTGTAAGCCATCTAGCTACCATGAGAGATTCGTTCATGAGGCTATCCACATATACAAGCACAGAGACAATTTCAACCGAGAAGATGGATTCTGGCTTAGCAATCATTGGAAAGATTTGATAAACCATTTCAGGTCTTAATTGATTGTTCACGCTTACAGTGGCTTTCAGACAGCATACAAAAAAAATTCGTCTCCCCCCTCCTCTTTTCAGAACATAGATGGACTAGTCCGTCTAAATAAACTGCCAAATCGCTGCGCATGGCGCAAACGTTTTTGAAAATAAATAAATAAATTGATAGATACACCGTTTTCAAATAAATAACTTTATGCAAACCGACACACCTGAAGACGACCGTTTGTGTTATGGTCGAAACGTCGTGAGAATTTTTATTGTTTTATATATTTTATTATTTTGTTGTTTCCCTTCAACGTGACTTTACCGAAAGAACTAAGAATATGAATTACTGCAGTCACGAAAGCTTTAAATCAAAATTTGATTTTTAACATTAGTTGTTTACACACACACACCACGCACACACATTGACTAACACACACACATCGACTGACACACATATATTTCGACTCACGCACACACACACATCGACCTGCACGCACACACATCGACTTATACACACACACACGAACGTACACACACACGGACGCACACACAAATACATCGACTTACACACACACATCGACTGACACACACACACACACACATATCGACTCATGCACACACATGGACGTGCAAACACACACATCGACTTATACACACACACACGGACGTACACACACATCGCCGCAATCACGCAAATAGACTCACATGCACACAAGGACTTAGACACACCCATTATTATTATTTGAATATTTACCAACTTAATTTGGAAATATTAGTTGTCTACACACAAACATTATTATTTTAATATTACCAAACTGATTTTTTTAAAATCTTAGTTTTCTATCTACGTGAATTTAGCGAAATAAGCAATAAAATAGTACTGACTTAACATTGCCGTGGTGATGCCTAGTCCCGTGCAGAGCCCCCGGCCTCACCTAATTGCCCAGCCCGCCGAGGTGGCACCTTGGCAGGCTGGGGGCTGGGCAGCTACCCCCCCCCACCATCCCCCCGCCCATGGTGCGTATATGATGATGGGTATATGATGATGATGATGCTCCAGGGTATATGATGGTGGTGCTGCTGGTGGTTGGTTATATGATAATGGTGGGTATATGATGATGGTGGGTATATGATGATGATGATGGTGATTGAGTTCATGAGTCCAGCAGAGTAGATGTCTCCCTTGTGTGTGTTGAACTTCTTTCGCACAGTGCGAAGCCAACCACGCAAATCGGAGGTGCGGGGTAAGGACGACAAACTAAATCCCCAAATCAGTTCTAAACAAATGAGTTTTCGATTGAAAAGTGAATCGCTCAAGTGGCTTCCTAATTTTGGAAGAGCGTTCCAGACGGCCACAGAAGGGCATCTGCAAACGCGTGATGCGGTGACCGTCTTTGTGGGCAAGCCAAAAGCCGCTGCGAGGATGACCAAAGGTCTCGTGATTGTTTGTACTCCTTGACCAGATCAGTAAGGTATTGTGGTTAATTTGTGGCAAACACTTTGTGTGTAATGAGTGCGACCTTTTAAGAGCAACCTTGTGGGTACCACCTGAGGTGGCGCTGGCTTTAGTGCAGCGGTGGGCAGTCCACCAAGCACTGGGATCTTCTGCCATTCTGGGGGTTTCACCGGCATAACTGCACGATCCACCACTAGAAAGCCACGACCAGCGATCTCACCTGGTGATGGATTTAACCCAGTGATATTCTGCAGACATACCCAGTTACTAGTGTAGTGAGTCCAACTGAGTTACAGACGTTATCTTGGGAGCAACACTATTTATTCAAATAACCATATGTAACATAACACAACCTACGCTCGGGTCTCGAATGCCCATCTAACCATGCGACGGCAGAACTAGGCACGGTTCACTATCCCGGTCCGGACCACGAGCTGGGTCCCGAACCGCGTGGCTCGAGACTTCTTCTCCCTGACGTGGATCTTGAAACACCAACACTGGAAGAACCCCGAGCTCCTCACGGAGCTCTCATTATATGCCCCCGGGCTGGTGCTGGCTCCGCCCTTAGCCCCGCCCACCTTCCAGGCTTCTCAAGCTCCTTCTCGAATGTTCCCGAGAGCTCTTCGAGACCACGTGACCGCCCCTCGGCCCCCGTCCACCGGTGCCCCCCCTCCAGTATCGTCCGGTCACATAACAACAGGTCAGCCAGAGTATCATGCCCCAGAGTAACCCTGGCTGGCTGGCTGACGCTCGCACTCGCTCCCTCACTGGGAGCCGGCACCGCACACTGCTTGCGGTGCCTTCGCACTAAGCAGCGCTCACCCAACCACCGCTGGGGTTGGTATTGCAGCCCGCAACCCGGGCTGCCTGCAATGACAACATTACCGGACGTGACTTCGCAAGTCCCGGCACCACACAGTGACAAATACAGTCACTACACTAGCGCCAAATATTGTGGAAGTCGGTGAGTTTGTAATATATGAATTCTTCTCAGTTGGGGATTTGTATTAGTTTTCTGTCAGCCATAATGGGGATTGTTGCCGTCTGCTGATGTCGGTGTCTATTCTGATTTGTTGTGATATTATTTTATATTTATGGAGTGCCTTTGTGCTCTGTTGACTACCACCACTGCTTTAACAGTTCCAGTTTCTTCACGTGGCAAAAAACTACTAGTTTCCCAGTAACCTTTGTTCATGAGGTTATAAAGTAATGCACTCACATTGGCCGTGTAAATAAATCGTGGCCGCCAAGATTCTGCTTGTGTAGGTGCCACCGATGTCCTCTGAGGCCCAGGGGCCATAAGTTGTTGTGGGTTGCGCTGCCAGTCATCTCAGTCTATCCCGTGACCTACTGCCAGTGGGCCTTCGACACTTCACGTGGCCTCAAAGTGCACCTGGTCTGGCACAAGCGCTGTAGTGAGGTGACTTCCACTTAGTGGCGAACGACAGCTGTTGTTGATGTGGGTGTCGGCAGGGGCCGTTGGTTGTCTGGGCAACATGGGAGGTGGGGGGGGGTAAACGGTATAAAGATTCTGATTCTGAAACAGGAAACGAAGTTCACCGTCAGTTACATCTGGGACCTGTCTGGGGAGTCCAAGGAAACACATTCCAACGTATTCAGTGACGTGTGGTGAGGTCAATGGCTGGGGAGGCACTGGCTAGTGTTAGAGCCAGATTCACACACTGAAGGGAGCGTGGCCTCACTGAGGGGGTGTGTCCTTGCTTAGACACATCCCCCTCAGTGAGGCAGATGTGATAGCTGCCTCCCCTGGTGCTTTTTCATTGCAGTTTCATGACGAGACCAGCGAGCCTAAATATCTGTATACACATACGTGAAATGAGTTACCTAGAGTATGGAAGGCGAGGTCTACAAACATTACATTGGTGACACACTGAAATAGTAACAGGCACGTGCTTATTGCCCGCGCTCCATCCAGTTACTGAGGGGTTGCGCAATCAGAGGGGAGGCTGAGCTCGTCGCTGCCTCACCTCTCGTCTCTTCCTGTATTTGCAGCGGCGCTCCGTAAATTTGGCGATTTTGAATATAAAAATTATTGGAATCGTACAGAAATGACATTTATAACACAGATCAGTGGAAAAATCTTAATATTTATTTTATCTGATTATTATTTTATTTAACTTTTTGTAACAGCTATTTTCATTGGAGTATGACAGGTGAGGCTCTGCCTCCCCTGACCGCATGTCCCTGAACGTATTCTTTGGGTTTTTTTGGTAAAGTCACGTAGACAGAAAAATAATAATAAATTAAGTGAATAAAAATTAAAAAAACAAAAAAACACATGTAGACTGTCGGCTGGTTCTTAATCGGAGTGTAATGGCAGTCTATAATGTAGACTGTAGCCTGATTATCACGTTTGGTGAGTGTACCGTCAGTCTATAATGTAGACTGTAGCAACGGTAATTAAGCTGGGTGAGTGTACTGGCAGTCGAATATGTAGACCGCAGCCTGGTTCTTAACAACGGTGAGTGTACTGGCAGTCTATGATATAGACTGTAGCAATGGTTATTGAACTGAGTGAGCGTACTGGCAGTCTATAATGTAGAATGTAGCCTGGTTCTTAACCTGAGTGAGCGTACTGGCAGTCTATAACGTAGACTTAATCTTGGTTCTTTCAGTAACAAAAATAAAATAAACATTAAAAAACCACGACATTCCAACGTTGGGCCAACATTGGTATAGGTTGTAACCATTGGGTAGCCACCTGCCCGGGTTTGACCCACACAGTCCAGAAAAGTGGAATTGTTGTTCGCGCGGCAGTAATTGATTTGTAATGGGATTTGGTACCTGTTTTGTGTTGTACAGCATTATATTGTGTAGGACTGGATAACAGGATACTGCAGTTTTGATAGACCTGGGTTGAGAACCGTGTCCGGGTTTGGTCTACAGTTGGCAAGGTAGCGGACTCTAACCAACCCATGTGTAGCAGCTAGTTAGATATTCAGTGAGAAATCAATCCATGTGCAGTAGTCATGAATTCATCTCCTCCTCCAGATCCCTCAGACACCAGCATCATCAGTGATGCTGTGCTGGTATGACAGGAGAGACATAAGACACCGTTGATGCCATCTCGTGTTTTTATTTCTGCCGCAGTTAACACACAGAGGCTTCGGTTAAATAAACTCGCGGTCTCACTCACGCTCGCTCACACTCACTCATTCTCACAACAAAGATCCCCCATGTGGCCTCAACAGTGTTTTTGGGGCAAGTGCTGTTAGTGAGCGCCTATGAAGGCCGCCACGACACAAAGGGGTGGGAGGCCAACACTACACCTGACCGCCTTCGTCTCCCCAGTGGAAATGTTCACACACCGCACAAGGTACTCATTTGAGGCTCAGTCGACCTAGGGGAGGCCCAGGACCAGTTCAAATGATCGCCACTGGTGTTGTGAGTGTAAATCACACGGTTCACCAGGTTCAAAGTGCAGCGCGCTAACGGCGACACCACCACTCCCCACACTCGCTCACACTCGCTCGCATTCGCTTGCTGCCTCTGTCTCACTTCCCTTGCCAGCCACACTGATGGTAAGGCCGGTGCTGGTGAGGTTATTGCTGGTGAGGTTGGGCCCAATGACAGCACCACAATCACAACCACCACTACCGATAGCGCCACGAGTAGCGCCACCAGTAGCCCCACAAAGAGCGCTATCTATAGCTCCTGCCCAGTCACCATTATTAACCCACCACAGCACCATACACAGGGGTCTTGCCAGCTGATGAGATCCCCGCGACCCCGTACAGACCTCTCCATTAGGGACCCCCATTTCCATAGGTATCCCCTTTACACTGAACCCCCCATAGGGACCCCATTTACACCGATCCCCCCCTGGGGACCCCCTCATACACTGACCGAGCGGCCACGTTCCCACACACACCCAGGCACCGCGCGCTTCTCTTCCGTGCGGTCTAAGCAGGGGAAATGTACAGGATCATTCCGATGACGATGAGGATGACGATGAGGATGATTCGCATTGGCAATATATAAATAAATGAAAATCTCACACTGAAGCGCTTTAAAGTTGTGTATTAGTGTGCGTGTGAATGTGTTGCATGCACCTGGCCTGGCACAGGTACAGTGGTGACGTCACCGCCACTTAGTGGCGAATGGTGGGGGTTGTTTTTGTATTGTGTATGTGTATGTATTGAGTTATCTATGTGTGTATATGAGTGTGTGTATGCGTGATGGGTGTTTATCCGCTGCTAGTCTGCAGTTGCCACAGATTGTGTGTGCATATGTGCATACGAGTATGTGTACATGTGTATGTATGTATTTCTCCGAGTGTGTATGTGTGCGTATACAAGTGTGTGTATTTATCCACCGCTAGTCAATGCGGTTGCCACAGATGGTGAAGCGGTCTATCTCCAGCAGGTCGGTCTTAGGTTCCTCCTCCCTGCGGTGGGGGGTCTCCATGGTACCCCCCCCCTGAGGGGACTCCACCTCCCCCCTGGGGGACCCCTCCTGGGCCCCGGCAGCCCCCCTCTTGTCGGCCCCCCGTGAGCACGTGTGTGGGGAGCGGGCCCAAGCCTGGGACTCGCCTGGGGACGAGGGCGACCGAGATGGCTCCCGCATGAACGGGAGGGGGGGGCTCACGGAGGAGGAGGGGGGGGGCGGAGACGTGGGGCCTGGGGGGGGGCATAGGGGGAGACACAGAGCATGTGAGACATGGGGAGAGGTGGTGTGGTGAGAGCCCTGGTGGTGGTATGAGTCTCATTGGGTGAGGCGTTGTGGCGAGTGCCTTGATCGTGTGAGTCTGGGTTACTGTTGGTGCTTTCAGAGTCCCTGACTCTCTGCACACAATCATTAAGGACCTTCATGAAGGTCGGGCAGGCCCGGGTAAAACGACGTGGCCGGGAGTCAGAGCCATTCCCTGTACACCTTGGGAGTGCGACAGGGATGTCCTCTGGCTCCCACATTATTTAACATGTTTTTTTTACCACGTAGTTCATGAAGCCTTCTATGGCTGTACCGGAGAAATCTCCGTCTGGAACAGATACAATGGGATGCTAATCAATGCCCGGGTGCGGTCAAGGGATGGCTCCCTATTGGTCAACCATCTACGTATGATGATGATCTGGTGATTGCTGCTCACTCAGAGGAGGAGTTGTAAGCACTGCTGCTGAACCTGGAGCATGTCACTAAGAGGTGGGGCAGTTGTGGAGAGAGTGGAGAGTTTTCCATACCTGGGCAACGTGCTTATGACCAGCTCTGGTTTGACAGCAGAGGTCTCACTCCGAACCAGTAGAGCGGAATCTTTTCATCAGCTGCGTAATGCTGTGTGCAAGCGACCTGGTGTCACTCCACACGAAGCTTCGGGTCTCCTCGGCCATAGTCATGCCCTCCCTTCTCTATGCTTGCGAAACGTGGACCCCACTAATGGAATAACTTCGCTGGTTAGAAACATTTAAGCTGGTCTGCATACAATCCATCTGGGTCTTAATCAGGCTGGATTGTGTGAGGAGTCTCACCAGGTGAGGCGGTGTGGTAAGGGCCCTGGTGGTGGTCTGAGCCTCACCAGATGATGTGTGGGAAGGTGCTGGTGTGAGTCTCAGTAGTTGAGGCAGTGTGGTGAGCGCCCTGGTGGTGGTGACGGTGTGAATATCACCAGGTAAGGCAGCATGATGAGTCTCATCAGGTGAGGTGGTGTGGTGAGTCTCACCAGGTGAGTCGGCGTGGTGAGTGCCCCGCTGCTGGTGTTGCTGGTGCGGTGTGCGCTGCGGGGTGCACGGCGTGCGGAGCTTGTGCTCCAGTTTGGCGCTGCGGACGTAGCGACACGACTTCCCCAGCAGCACCACGCTCGTGAGCACCTTCAGGGTCAGCAGCCTACACACCGCGCACATACATACAACACATAAAAACAACACACAACACACATACATACAAAACACACACAACAAAGAGAAAAATCCGCCATATAGTCTTAACAGACTGTAGGGGCAAGTACTGTTAGCGAGCATCTATGAGGGCCGGCACGGCACATGAGGGGGTGGGTGGGCAGCACCACGCCCGGCTGACTTTGTCTCCCCAGTGGCGTTGTTTACACATGACACCAAGTTCTCATTTGAGGCTGAGTCGACCTAGGGGAGGACCTGCTCTGGTTCAGATAATCGTCACTATTGTTGGTCATGATCAGGTATCGAACTCAGGTCGCCGGTTTGTAGCGCAGCGCGCTAGCCACTACACTACCGTAACACACACGTAACACACACATAACCCACACACACATACACAACACACACGTATACATACAATACAGACACAACTCGCATATACACAACAAAGACAAACACACATACACAACCCAAAACACACAACACGAGACACAACAAGCACGCATATCACAACGTGCGTGATGCGTACCCGAGGAAGATGAGCAGCGCGGTGGCGTACGCCAGGGCTCCCTGAATCCTCACCGAGTTACTCACCACGCGGATGAGCTGCACACACACAGCACACACACAGCACACACACAGCACACACACTGACAAAAACCCCCGTGTAGCCCACACAGACTGTTGGGGCAAGTGCTGTTTGTGAGTAGCCCCTATGAAGTCCGGCACGGCACATGAGGGGGTACTAAATTGAGGCGGGGTCGACCCAGGGGAGGTGCAGGAAGGTTCAGATCTTCGTCGCTGTTATCGGGCGTAAGCGGGTTACTCGGTTCGTAACTAGATGCGCTAACTACTGCACTCCGTTCCCCCACACAACCTGGAGAGGCCTCACCATCAGCCCCACAAAAACAAAGCACCTGTATCCACCCCCTCCACTCTCCCATGAGTGATGGGACAGCTGTGGAGAGAATGGAGAACTTTCTGTACCTGGGCAGTGTACTCATGATTCGTTCTGGTTTGGGAGCAGAGGTCTTACTCCGAATCCGTCGAGCAGCATTATCTTTTGATCAGCTGTGTAATGCTGTGCGGACGCTACCTGGTCTATTACTCCACACGAAGCTGCGGGTCTTCTTGGCCAAAGTTATGCCCTCCCTTCTCTATGCTTGTGAAACATGGATCCCTTTGAATACATATCTGCACCAGTTAGAAACATTCAGGCTGGCCTGCCTATGATCCATCCTGGCTTTAACCAGACTGGATTGTGTGCGGAGCTCAAAGTCCCATCAGTGAGGTCCTCCAGCAGGCAAGGCTGCGTTGGCTGGGTCATGTAGCACGCATGCCCATCCACCGCATTCCCAAGCAACTTTTGTTTGACCGGATCGAGGGGGCTAAACGAGCACAGCATAAGCTAGAAAAGAAATGGGCTGATGCAGTACAGGAGGATGTGGAACTGAGTAGACTTGCCAATGATTGTTACCAGCGGTGTTAAGATTGGCCTCTATGCAGGAGGCTCATGTAAGACGTCACTGGGAAGTTGGGGACAGTCACCCTCCAACAACAGCGGAGGGCAGAGGAGCAACGCTCACAACAATGAGCGGAGTGCTCGGTGGCTAAAACACAGCAAGTTGGCACAGTACGAGGCACAGGTGGTGCCTCTGCCAGTCATCTCAGTCAACCCATGGCACCTGGGCCTTTCCCATGACCTCCTGTGACCTAGCCTTCGACACTTCACGTGGCCTGAAGGTGCACAGGCGCTGTCTTGATGTCATCATCACTTAGTGGCGAATGAGGGCTGTTGTTATTGTGTGTGAGTGAGTCTGTGTGAAAGTCTTACCACCACTGCCAGAGGAAGAGGGATGAATCCCATTCGCCGAGACACTGAGTCACTGTGATCAGTGTGAGCCTAAACACCATACAAACCACACACACCATATACAACATACACCACACACTACATACAATACACACTACATATAATACACACCACACACCACCACCACATGATGGCAACGACGATGATGGTGATGATGGTAATGGTGAGGATGGAAGTAATGGTAGTGATGATCTGATGGTGGTGATGGTAAAAATTATGGTGTGCCAATGGGGTTGATGGTGATAATGATGATGGTAGTGATGATGGCAGTGATGATGGTAGTGATGATGGAGAAGAGAATGGTGGTAGCAATGGTGAAGGTAGTGATGGTAATGATGGTGGTAAAGGTAGTCGTGATAGTGATGGTGATGATGGTGGTGATGACGATAATGATGTTACTCACATATCGCTGACGGCTGCTCACCAAGTCAAAGGCCAAACTCGCCCGGTACTCACTGTACACCTGAAAAATCATAGGCATCACCACCATCATCATCTTAATCGCCACCACTGCCACCACGTCATTATATTCACCACCAACAATGAATTACAACAGCCTTCTCTCACTCTCAGTTTCATGAAGGGTTGATAGCCTCAGCCGAGGCACCGGTGACTGCTCTAAAATCCCTGATTACAATGACTGTGAATCCGCACTGAACTTGGATGAGTTCCAGTTCTGAGATTTTAACATTAAATTAACTGATGGCAGTGATGATGGTGATGGCGGTGATGGTGTTGATGGTGATGATGGTGGTCTTATCTTATATAGATTTATATAGCACCTTAATCCAAGGCACAACAATAATGAAATGGTACATAAGATGGTTAAAAAAGTGGGGTATTCAAAGTGGTGTTGTAGTTATAGTGACAGGAGGATAGGTGGGAGTGGTTAAGGAGGGGTTGCAGTAGGGGTAGTGACAGGGGTTGGGATAGTGATACGGGTAGAGGTAGGCCTGGTCATAGCAGTAGGATGGGATAGGGGAGAAGAGACGAGAAAGAGAAGCAGGTGAGTGGAGATGATTGCTCTATATGCTGCAGTGGGAGTTGGTTCCAGTGAAGGGGAGCGAAAAGAGAGACAGAGCGAGAGAGCGAGACTGGGCACAGCAAAGCGAGGGAGGCACAGACAAGGACAGTGGAGACTGGGAGCGTAGAGGATGGTAGACGGTGGTGATGGTAGTGATGGTGGTGATGCCACCTCGTCGGTGATGTCGTTGAACTTGGTGATGAACGCGTGCTTCACAAAGTCCACCACCACCTCAGAAACGACGACCATCGCGACATCCGGGACCAACACCCAGAGGTGATCTACGGGAGACACGTGGACACGGGAGACGCGGGGACATGGGGAGAGAGGGACAGAGACACGGAGATGCGGGAGACACGAGGATGCAGGAAACATGGGAGAGACGAGGACGCGGCAGACACAGTGACGTGGGGAGAGAGGGACATGGGGACATGGGAGACAGGGGGACGTGGGGAGAGAGGGACACGGAGACATGGGGACATGGGGGACAGGGGGGCGTGGGGAGAGAGGGACACGGAAACACAGAGACGTGAGAACAAAATGAGAAGAATCTCAAACGACTTGATTGCGGTGATGTGGTGATGTGGTGATGTTGTTACTGCTGCTGGTTATGATGTTGCTGATGTTGTTGAGGTGGAGGGGATGATGGCCTCACCCGGGTTCCAAGAGAACTGCTCCATGTTGCGCAGACAGACAACCAAGAGTAGCACGGCGTTGTGGAACCGCTCCCGGATGTCTGGGAGACGAAAGAGGGATGGGGTCAGAGTCCCCCACGTGAGTCCCACGTGTTGTGTGTGTCACCACACATGTCCACGTGTCTCCATGTCGAGCTATGTGCATGTGCTGTGTGTCAACGTCCCTGTATCCCTATATTTCAGCGTTCATGTCTCTCCATGGCCATGTGTGTGCGGTGTGTGTCCTGTGTGTGTATTGCATGTGTGCTGCATGTATGCTGTGTGTGTAATGTGTGTGTACTATGTATACTGCATGTGTGCTGTGTGGGCTACGTGTAGTGTGTGCGCACTGTGTGCACCATGTCTGTGTACCACGTGTGTGCCGCGTGCGTGCTGCGTGTGTACTGCGTGCGTACTGCATGTGTACTGCGTGTGTACTGCATGTGTACTGTGTGTGTACGCTGTAACTTGTCTGTACTGCAAATCCCACACGAGTCTCATGCATCTCATGTGGTTCCTTTCTCGTGATTATCAGGCTTTGCGATGAGCACTAATCGCTGTCGCCCCCCCCCCCCCCACTGTCCCAGTGTGGGATGCAAAGCCCAACCCGAACCGTCGGTTGCTTGGCTCTGCCTGGCCCTGCTGGGACCCACTCACCACTGTTAGACATCTGGAAGAGGTTGTTCTTCTCAAACTTCTTGAACACGCTTCCCTTGAGCTCCACAAACTGCAAACGCACTCACACATATGCATGCGTCAACTCCTACAGAGACACACGCACACACACTGTGTGTTCCCGTCTCTCCCCATGTGTCTCTCCCTTTGTGTTACCCTCTTTATGTCTCCTCCTTTGTGTCCCCGTGTCTCCCCGCGTGTCTCCCCATATGTCCCCCCGTGTGACCCCCGCGTGTTCCCCCATGTGTCTACCCGTGTGTCCTCATATCCCCCCCCACCCCCGTGTGTTGTCGTACGTTGTTGGACATCATGATGGTGAGTAGAGATTTGTTGTGGGAATTGAAGGCGACATTCAGCGTCGTGGCCTGCACCAGCACCAGGATAGAGTGCAGGACTTCCAGGTTGCAGGTCAGGGGTCAAGGATCATCGAGACATGATCATCCCCAACACCCCTACCCCGTCACAAAGATGGTGGCAGCAAAGATGAAGATGGTGGTGATGGTGGTGGTAATGGTGGTGGTGATGGCGGCAATGGTAGTGGTGGTGGTCATGACAGTAGTGGTGGCTGTGATGGCAGTGGTGATGGTAGTGGTGGTGCTAATGACGGTAGTGGTGGCAGTAGTGGTGGTGGAGAGGTCGAGGTCGATAAAGAAGTGTAAGAGGTATAACCAGGAGCCAGGTGGTAGGTGTTACCAAGGTGTTAGTGATATGTTGATGAGGTTTGATGACACAGTTGATGGTGTTGAAACGCTGTTGACCATGAGGTTGAGAAGGTGGACGAGAAGGTGGGCGAGGAGGTGGGCGAGGAGGTGGGCGAGGATACAGACGTAGAGCACGGCCATAAAGAGGTGAGGCACGAGGCCCAGGCGGTGACGGGTGGGCGCACGTGGCTCCGTTGCTGTCCAGTAGAGCGCGTCCAGGATGTCCTGGCCAAACGACGAGAAGAGGCGGTCTGCCACCTACACAAGGACACAACAGAGACGGACCCCGTGCAGCCCACACTCAGAGCACTAACCATGGCGCCACTGCTCCCCACCAGCGCTGGCCCCGTGTTGCGCGGTGATAGGGAGAGGAGATCCGGGATCATCGCTTGAGCTACACTAACAGCCACCCACCGCACCCACCACCACCAAAGACAAAGACCCCACCCCCCCCCGTGCAGCCTTTAACAGACTGTCGGGGCAAGTTCTGTCAGCAAGCACCTATGAAGGACGGTGCAAGAGGGCGTGGGTGGCCAGCACCACACCCGGCAGCATTTGTCTCCCCAATGGAAATGTTTACTACACACTGCACCAGGAACTCATTTGAGGGGAAGTCCAGCATCGGTTCAGATAACCGTCACTGGTTTTGACCATGCACAGGAATTGAACTCAAGTCGCCAAGTTAATAGCGCAGTGTGCTAACCACAACGCCACCACTCCCTACACACAGCACTCAGTGTGTACCCGGTGTGCACCACCACTGCAGTTCACCACCAATGGTGGTACGTGTGTTGCATCTGTAGTGACTAACTTGGAGACGATAAGACTTGGCGGCACTTCTTTATTAATCAGCACACTCGGGATTAACACAATAAAAATTTAGTCCGTCTATTATGGGCGACGCTACTCAGCCAGGTCCGTTGGTAGGCTGCCTGACTAGCGGCACCCCGAGATTATAGAGATGGAGACGATGACGAGAAGAATGGTGGAGACGACGAGAAGAATGGCGACGATGGACTTCAGCAGCACGACGGGGATCCCATTCCAACAACAGCCCCGCGGATGCCCACAGGGGTCCCTCTTATACTGTCAGCTGGGCCTCACTTCGCCCCGGCCACGCCCCCTTTCTGGAACCTCCTAGCGGGTTCCTGGTGGGCCCCTTCTGTGACGTTTCCCCTAGATCCCCTCTCGTGTCTATCCTGGCCTGCTGACGTCAGGACTGCCTTACGCCACAGATCCCCTTTTCTGCCAGCAGCCAGCGCTATGCCACTACACGTATTGTGGTGTGTGATGGCGTACGGTAGTGCGGTGTATGGTGGTGTGGTGGTAGGTGTGGTGCATGTATGGTAGTATGTTATGTGACAGTGTATGGTGGTGTGGTGTATGATGGTGTAGAGGTACGTGTAATGCGTGTATGGTGGTGTGGTGTGTGACAGTGTATGGTGGTGTGGTGGTATGTGTGGTGTGTGTATGATGGTGTGGAGGTACGTGTGGTGCGTGTATGGTGGTGTGGTGTGTGACAGTGTATGGTGGTGTGGTGGTACGTGTGGTGGAACGTCTGGTGTGGTGGTACGTGTGGTGTGTGTATGATGGTGAGGTGATACGTGTGGTGCGTGTATGGTGGTGTGGTGGTACGTGTGGTGCATGTGTAGTAGCATTGTTGGGCACTGTGTACATTTCCAATTCATCCTAACCTGTAGTGGCAGGCATGTGTCAATAGGGGGTGGTATACTGAATGAGTAAGATGAGTCGGCCTGTTGGGCAAATAGGGCTCCCCAGCCCCCAAGAGAGGGGTTGGGGGGATATTTCAGAGCCCCCTAGAGAGTTCCAGAAGGAAGGCGTGGCTAGGGGCGGAGAGACCCTGGAACAGGCATAAAAGCCAGACCTCTGGACGGGTCCGGCAGTCATCGTCAAGCTGAAGACAGAAGACCTGCTTAGGCTAGGACCCTGGGAACCTCTGGACCCGACATCCTTCTAAGGGCCGGGACTGAGTGGGCCAGTGGTCGGACCCTGGGAACCCCCGGGACCCGACGTCCTTCTAAAGGCCGGGACCGAGTGGGCCAGTGGTCGGGACCCGAGGACCTTGGCTGGGTCGGGTCAGCTAGCCTCCCCTAGGACCCCTTAGCCGGAGGGCTGAGAGTACGTAGCTCCAGTAATAGGGCACGCTAGTCCGGCTATACCTCCCGAGGTATCGGGTGGAGGGGCCGCTACCCCTTTGTGTTAGGGTCCGTTATTGTTGTTATTGGAATAAACGTGTTGCTTCTACAAGCCATCTCGACTCTCCGTGAATCCGCTACATTTGGTGTCGGAAGTGGCCATGGAGACGAAAAAATCGTACCAGGAGCCCGGACGAAGACGACGATGACCAAGCAACCACGGGGCCGAGATGCTGCCGGCCGGGCAGCTGCTCCCCCTGCCGCCCGCCGTCTCACCGTCTCCGCGCAGCTCGCTGCGGGAGGCGCACTCCTGCCTCGCGGAGCTGCTACACGCCGCGGCCTCCGTCCTCAGGGACATCCACCGCGAGGAGGCTGCGGCAGGGGTGGGGGATGTGGCACAGCGGGCAACGGACGCCACCGCCACCTCTGAAAATCCCGCCAAAATGTTTTAATTTCCCACCATATTGGGGGACGCTTCCGCCGGACACGTGGTGCACCCTCGGGCGTACGTCACTTCCTGTCCCAGCGGGAACCAACCGGACAGCGCCGCGTCATCGGCGGCGCGACGGACCCAAGAGGCCGACATCTTGACCGCTGATGGCGACACTGTTCCAGCCAGGCAGGGAGATGCGAGGCTGCCCGGGGGACGCGCGCCACCCATCCATCAACGACTGCCAGCGCTGAAAGAATTCTCTGCTGCGGGTGGTGACTGGGCCACTTCTTGTCCCACCGCGAGATGGCCGGGTGGTCGGAGGCGCTCCAAGCGCTCCCGGCTGCGCTGGACGATGACACCCTCGACGGCCCCATTACAATACCGTAGGCAGACCGATCCACGCTGCAGCAGGCACTCCTGCACATGCAGGTAATTTAGGGGCCACCATCGGACTCCCGCCACCGACTTCGCTAACCGGAGGAGGGGCGAGTCCGAGACTCCCCTAGCCTTTCATAGCGCGCTGCTGGCCCTGGCCAGGGCTGCATTCCCTCGCATAGACCATGAGGGAATTGACACGCTAGTGTTAGAAAGACTGTTGAGCCTGGCCCGGGAGATGCGTATCGTCATGCCCGCGGTGGACGACGATAACTTCTGCTCACTGCGCGCCGCAAGATGTATGCAAGCGCATCTGCGGCTCCAGAAGGAGACCAGCCTCGCGGCCTGCGCTGCACCGGCCGACGCCTGCACTTCCAAGGAGGAGCCGCTGCACAGCCAAGCCTTCGCGTCCACTTCAGCAAGAGGGTGGAGGTCCGACAATCGCTGACACCCACGGGACTCCCGCCAGGGGGGACAGGCGTCTCCGCGCCCGGACACGGTGTCCATCACATGTTGCGCACGGCCTGTGCTACAGTCCAAGCGTTGGCGTCCCGTACTGTATGCATTCCACCCGGGTCTCAAATGTTGGTTCCCCTTCGACTTCGGAAACCCCTTGACTCGGATGCGAGGGCAGGGGTTATTTTGTTGGAGCCTTCGAACACGGCGGTACGGGGGTTAGACCTGGTCAGTGCGCAGACGCTCATTTCGGGTGACAGAAAATCCTTCATACAGGTTCTGAATGCGGGGTTGCGAACTACCGTCATCCTCGGGGTACGGTGCTCGCTCACAGTGGCACCAGCACTCCTGGAGGGATTCGGTGGTGGGCCACGTAGGGGATGTGTCTTGATCCAAACCGCATTCAGACCTCGACGAGCGGTGGATTGATGCGCTTTGCTCGGCTAGTGGCGAACCTGCTCGACTCCCAGCATGTTAAATTGCGTGCGCTATTGCGAGATTTTTCCGACGTTTTTAGCAAAAGCAAATTTGACATTGGGTGTATAAAGTTTATTAGCTATCATATTGACAGGGGACGCCGCTTCCATCCGACAAAACCCATTTCGCCTAAGTCCTGTCGAGAAGGAGCATGTCAGAGTGGCCGTAAATGACATGCTAGCGGCACCAATTGTTCTCATTAAGAAACATGATGGTAGCCTCAGATTTTGTGTTGACTTTCGGAAGCTCAATAAAATGTCCGTGGCCGATGAGTATCCACTCCCTCGTATGGACGATGCTGGACCTCGTCGGGGTTTTGGCAATTGCCCCTCAACAAAGCGTCGAAACCTAAGACGGCTTTCCGCACACCTCAGGGCCTCTTTGAGTTTAACCGGCTACCCATGGGTCTTCACTCGGCCCCAGCGACGTTCCAGCAACTGATGGAGCTGGTCCTCGCTGGGCTCCAGTGGGATTCCTGCCTGATTTATTTAGACGATGTTATCGTCTTTAGCTGTACATCCGACGAGCATCTCGATCGGTTAAAGGATGTTTGTGTCAAGATGTGGGTGGCAAATCTCGAATTTAAACCGCAGAAATGCCATCTCCTCCGGGATTCCGTTCGTTACCTTGGCCACATCGTTAGCCAGTCTGGCATTGCCACGGACCCGGAAAAAACAAGTTGCGTCCGCTCGTGGCCGACCCTCACTTAAGCTGGAGAGGTGAGGAGTTTCATTGGCTTTGCATCTTACTATCGGCGTTTCATGGCAGGATTCGCGTCCATAGCAAAGCCCCTCCATGTACTGTCGGCAAAGGGTGCGACTTCACTGGAGGGAGGTGGAACAGGCCGCATTTGACGCCCTTCGTAACGTCCTGGTCAATGCCCCTCCCTTGTGTTACCCCAATTCTCCGTGCCGTTCGTCCTGGACACGGATGCCAGCAACACCGGCATTGGGGGGGCGTTGTCCCAGGTGGTCGACGGGGTTGAGCGTGTCGTTGCCTATGGCAGCAGAGTGTTGTCCCCCACGGAACAATGCTATTGCGTCACACATCACGAACTGCTTGCCATTGTCTTTTTTGTTCAGCAGTACAGGCCATACCTGTATGGTAGGCACTTCACCGTGCGTTCGGCCCACGTGGCACTTCAATATGCACTGCGAGTTGACCAGCCATCCGGTCAACTAATCCCGCTGGCTCGAGGTGTATGCACACTATTGGCATCAATAGTGTGCATACGCGCAGCGTGCACTCACTCACTCATACGCCCACCAGCCACACACACACCAACCCACCCACCCCTCCAATGATCCAATTCAACCCTCCCACCACCCCCTCCCAACCCACCTCCTCCACATGGTTCCACACAGCAGGAGGGGGCTTTGGTGTGTGTGCGTGCGAGTCTGTGACGCGTCTAGAGGCCGACCGAAATTCGGTTTCGGCGCCGAAAGTTGGCAAATGGCCTCTTTCGGCATAGTTTCTGTTTCGGCCGAAGCCAAAAAGTTAACTTTCGGTTTACTTTCAGTTTCGGCCGAAAGTCAATTTTTTACTTTCAGTTTACTTTCGGTTTCGGCCAAAACCAGAATTCAGTTTCGGTCAGCCTCTAGTCGTGTGTTACAGTGTATGGTGGTGCTGTGGTACGTGTGGTGCGTGTATGGTCGTGCGGTGTATGGTGGTATGTGTGGTGCGTGTATGGTGGTGTGATGGCATGTGTGGTGCATGTATGGTAGTTTGGTGTGTGACGGCGTATAGTATTGCAGTGTATGATGGTGTGGTGTGTGACAGTGTATAGTGGTGTAGTGTGTGACGGTGTATGATGGGGTGTGTATGGTGGTGTGGTGCGACAGTGTGTGCGCTGTGCATATGCACCTCGAGCATGTTATAGATGATGTAGAGCTTGATGACCGATTGCCCGCGGATGAGGTGGTATGTCATCGAGTAGTCTATGTGCTGCATCAAAACGTAGCAACCGGCCATTATGACTCCCTTGAGTATATCGCACACTTGTGCTGGCTCCAGCCAACGCTTACGCCTGCATACGTACACATGCACACACGCACACACCGTGATGTGGTGTAGAGTATGGTACATTCTGGTGTGTGATGGTATATGGTGTGCTGTGGTGGTATGACTATGTGTATTATTGTGGGGACCGGTGGTACAGCAGGTAGCGCACTGTGCTACGAATCCGGTGGCATGAATTTGATTCCCACTCACAGCCAACTTCACTGACAATTATCTGAACTGGTCCTGAGCCTCCTCTAGGTCAACTCAGCCTTAAAATTTGTATCTAGTGCGGTGTGTAAACATCAGTACTGGGGAGACAAAGAAGGCCGTGCATAGTGCTGGCCACCTACATCCTCGTGTGCCGTGCTGGCATACATAAGTCCTCACTAACAGCACTTGATCTTTGTCTTTCTGGAAAATGGTGAATATGGCATGTGATGTATAGTGATGTGTGGGTGATGTATGATGGCCTGTATGGTACAGTGTGTGGTGCAGTGTATGCGGTGGTGTAGAGAGAGGAAGTGTAGCGGTTAGTGCTCTGCACTAAGAACCCAGTGATCCGAGTTGCATTTCCCCTCACAACCAATAACAGGTCGACTCAGCCCCAGATGTGTACCTGGTGCGATGTGTAAACATTGCCACTTGGACGACAAAGGAGGCCGGGTGTGGTGCTGGCCACCCACCCCCAAGTGTGTCGTGCCGGCCTTCTTAGGTGCTCGCTAACAGCATTTGCCTCGAGTCTGTTAAGCCTATACGGGGGATCTTTGTCTTTCGAGAAAACAGTTAATATGGCGTGTGGTGAATATGAAATATAGCACAGTTGGCTACGTGTGGTGTGAAAAAAGCTGAATAATGATGTGTAGGTGGTGTATGGGTTGGCATATGATGGTGTGTGGTGGTGTATGGTCCGGCATGATGTGCGGTGGTACCCATGTGGCCGGCACGGCACGGTGCACACCCTCAGCAGTGCCAAGCCGATTCTCAGCGGCAGCAGCGTGAAGACGAAGAGGAAAGCGTCAAGACAGAGACACGAGCCAAATGCCATGAGCTGCACGCGCGGAGAGACACGCACGGACAAGAACATACACCTACATACTTTACATACATAGCAAGTGTGCACACCTTCTCACACCCTCTCACACACGGTGCAACAACAGGAGCTGCTGCTAAGTAGCGGTGATGTCACCACGGGCCTTGTTCCAGGCCAGCTGCATATTATCTTCTTAACACGTAGGCTTTCGCGACCAATATTATTCATAATAAAGGTTTCTGGTTATATTCTTAGTTCTTTCGGTAAAGTCACGTTGAAGGGAAACAATAAAATAATAAAATATATATAAAACAATAAAAATTATCACGACGTTTCGACCATAACACAAACGGTCGTCATCAGGTGTGTCGGTTTGCATACATTTATTTTTAAACGGTGTATTTATTTATTTATAAAAAAAACGTTAGCGCCACGCGCAGTGATTTGGCAGTTTATTTAGAAGGACGAGTCCATCTATGTTCTGAAAAGAGGAGGGGGGAGGCGAAAAATTAATGTATGCTGTCTGAAAGCCACTGTAAGCGTGAACAATCAATTAAGACCTGAAATGGTTTATCAAATCTTTCCAATGATTGCTAAGCCAGAATCCATCTTCTCGGTTGAAATTGTCTCTGTGCTTGTATATGTGGATAGCCTCATGAACGAATCTCTCATGGTAGCCAGATGGCTTACAAAGAACCTCTGTCTTGGAAAAGTCAATGTCATGTGAGCCTACTGAATTATAACAATGATCTGCCACGGCCGAGGTGTTGGTCCTACCGTGTTTAAGGTCTGCTTTGTGTTCACGAATGCGGTCCGAGACATGGCGTTTGGTTTCTCCAATGTAACTACTACCACAGAGGGAACTTAGTTTGTAGACACCAGGGTATTGTATGTCCGGAATCACATGTTTTACAGACGGAACCAGATCACGGATTTTATGTAATGTGTTGAAACGGACCTGGATCTTGTGTTTATTCAAGATTTTGGAGATCTTTTTTGTGATCCCCGCAATGTAGGGTAAAGTGATGGTTTTGAAAGGCTCCTCAAGAGGGTCCTTCTTCATGGTTTGAGTGATAGCTTTGCGGATTGTATAGTCGGAGTAACCATTAGCCTTAAGAATGGTGAAGCCCTCCACTGGCTCCCGGTCTTAAATAGAGCAGCAGCAGGGTGACGTCATCATTTAACTCATTCAGGTGCAGTGGTTTGAGGTGGAGGGGGGGGTATTGTAATTATATAATGGATGGTAAACAGTCAATGGTTATGATTAGTAATGAGTTGTAGATTAGTAACTAGTTGTAATGTGTTATTGTGATTATATGCTACGTTAGTAATCCGTTAATTAGTATGTGTTTCCCCTATAAGGAATTGTAATATGTATTATTTAATAATATGCTTCCAAGCTGCACTAAGCCTGTAGCTATCAGAGCAATAAAAGTTATTTCTATTTCTCTCAATTTCAATGGATTCTCTAATTAGTCTTTGCCAGTAAAAATTAGTTTTACACAACACTTCAACGTTATCAAAATCAATTGAGTGTCCTTGTTGACAAGCAGGTTCTGCCACTGCCGACAGTTGTGTTTGAGATAAATTAATATTTATTTGGTGTTCTTTTAGTCTTATGCTGCTGTTACGTCCCGTCTGTCCAATATAGCATCTGCCACATAAACAATTAATCCGATATACACCTTCTGTTGATAATTTAGGTAATTTGTCTTTAGTGCAAGATACTAGTGTTTGGATTTTGTGTACTGTACCAAATCTTACTTTAATGTTTTGCTTTTGCAAAACACGGGCTAATTTGTCAGTTACTCCTGAGATATATGGAATTTTAATTGTTTTTACACTTACACACACACATGGGGCTCGCACCCTCTTACATCCTCTCTCATACATGGTGCACACCCTCTTACACACACATACACACGGTGCGCACACCCTCTTACACACATACACAGGGCGCACACCTTCTCAAGCTCCCGCGGGATGCGTAGGAAGGTGTAGACGCGCTGCCTACGCTCGCTGTACGAGGCCTCGTTCCGCTCCAGCTGGTACCCACGTGCCAGCTCCTCCGCCAGGAAGCACAGTACACCTGGGCACACGTCACATTGTACATACACAGCACACGACGTGTACGTGCCACATTGTATACACGCTAGCACACGTCGTGTACGCTCCACATTGTACGCACGCAGCACACGTCATGTACGCACTACATACATGACACACTAAATACACGAGACACTCCATATGTACCACATAACATACATAAGACACACAATACTGCACACAACATAAACACCACACACTCTATATACAATGTACACATGAGACGCACCATAAACCAAATACACACACACCACATTTAACATACACACCACATGCACAAGTCACACAAGACACTTCACACACATCACATATTACACACCACGTACAACATACCCACTATACACCCCATACTGTACACACTATACAGATACACACCATGTACATCTTATACGTAGCGTACACACCACACTATATATAAACACACACCACAAATGACATACATATCAAATACATCATACACTCTACGATCCACAAATATAAACATGCACACACAACATACACACATTGTATGCATACACGTCATATACATTATACACAACACACACACCATCTACATCATATGAACCTTATGGCGTGACCCCGGTCCGGAATAAACAGAAGTCAAAATCATAATTAATTTATTTTTGGCGACTCTGTCCCACCGCGGGCATAAATGCCGTGACCCACCTGACACGGATCATTCTGTTGTCATGTTGTCCAAGCACAGCGAGGACAACATGACAACAGAATGATCAGGATCATCCAAAGCTGCTCAAACTGCCTACACGACTTAAGTCCTTTATTTGTCATAACGGTATGCATAACACAGTGAAACTGCTCTCTTATCTTCATTACTTGGGACCTACCAATGTCTGCAGCCAGGATCAATCGATGAAAATCCTATTACCTGCAGATATTTAACAGATGAGATGCATTGTACCGTTAATTCCTCCTGTTTGCTAATAATTCTCTTGTCCGTATGCATATGTGCAGATAGGTTTGTTTTGTTGCTGTTAAGCCATAGTCCCCACATAACGCTCATATCAATGCGGATAAGAGGAGCAACGACCCACGACTCTGTAGAGTAACATTGGTATAAACGCTTGTTACAATATGAACAGCGTATTGAAAACGCGTACTATTTTAGGTACTGTTTACAAAGTGTGTTAAAAAAATCCACACTGAGAAACACGATGATTGACTGAGGGGTGTCAATTATTTTTTCGATAGTGTATTTAAATAGAGGTACTGCAGGTAAGTAGTTTCTCAGTTTTAAATGCATCGTTTAACAAGACACTTGCCACCATCCTTCAAACCCACTGGTGAAAAAGAGCAACGTTTTTGTTTACATTATAATGTTTATGCGAGAGCCGGGGGCTTATGGGACCCCGGGGTCCGCCATACGGTTCATATACATAACACTCACTCCATACACACCACAGTCTACACGCAAAAGATCCCTTTTGGGACAGGCCCAATTCGTGAGCACCGATGCATGCCGGAACAGCAAAGGGGGTGGATAACCACAACGCCCGGCCGCCTTTGTCTCCTTAGTGGCGATGTTTAGACATCGCACCAATTACTCAGAGGCCGAGTCGACCGAGGCGAGGCCCATGACCAATTCAAATAACTGTCACCGGTGTTGGACGTGAGTGAGACTCGAACTCGGGTTACCGGGTTCGTAGCGCAGCACGCTAAGCGCTACAATACCACCCCTCACTCCACACAGACACCACGAACATAAAACACCACACATCATACACTCCACACACAGCATGTCTCCCAAACAAACCCCACACCACATACACCATACACACCACACACACAATCTTCCTTACCCCTATACACTCGACGTACACACAGCCCGACGTACACACAGCCCGACGTACACACAGCCCGACGTACACACAGCCCGACGTACACACAGCCCGACGTACACACAGCCCGACGTACACACAGCCCGACGTACACACAGCCCGACGTACACACAGCCCGACGTACACACAGCCCGACGTACACACAGCCCGACGTACACACAGCCCGACGTACACACAGCCCGACGTACACACAGCCCGACGTACACACAGCCCGACGTACACACAGCCCGACGTACACACAGCCCGACGTACACACAGCCCGACGTACACACAGCCCGACGTACACACAGCCCGACGTACACACAGCCCGACGTACACACAGCCCGACGTACACACCAGTGCACTCTCCACACATACACCACACACTCCTGCTCACCCCTGGGCACTCCACACACCCTACACACACCCCACACACACACACACCACACGTACCACTTCTCATAACCCCCATCACACACACCACACCCACTACACACACTACTCCTCACCCCCTATGTACACCCCACGCACACCTCACATATGCCACAAACCCTCCAGACCACGACCGACACCTCACACTCGTGCCCTCCCCTCACCCGCCCTTCGACTCCTGCCCCCAGCGGCCCCCGCACCCTGCTGCTCCGTGAACCCGACGCTCTCGGCGCGCCACGCCGCGGACAAAGCCGCCGCTGGCGCGGAAGGGTTCGGGGCCGACTCCGCCGCCGTGGGGGTTCGGAATCCGCCGTTGGCGTCCCCCGCATCCTCCTCCTCCTCTGCCTGCTCCCGGGCGCCGCGGCCCCGCAAAAGCGCGGCCATCATCACGGCAGCGATGGCGTGCGGGCGGACGTGACGTCACATGTTTAGGGACGTGACGTCACGGGATTGAATGACCACGCGCAGGGCCCGCCTCCTCTTCTTTCTCGTGGACTCACGTGTGTGTGTGTACCACGTGTGTGTGTACCCCGTGTGTGTGTGTACCCCGTGTGTGTGTGTGTACCCCGTGTGTGTGTGTACCCCGTGTGTGTGGGTACCATGTGTGTGTGTGTACCGTGTGTGTGTGTCCCGTGTGTGTGTACCACGTGTGTGTGTACCCCGTGTGTGTGTGCCCGGTGTATGTGCCCCGAGTGTGTCCTGTGTTGTGCGTCACAATAGAGGTCCGCGTAAAACGAGAACCCATGTCTCACAGTGACAGCCCTTATAATCATCTGGCAGTCCGTTTCCACGATTGGTTCAAGTAAGCCTGACTGCTGACGAGACACTGAATATGGAAACCAGGCCTTTCCTATAAATATCTAACAGGTCAGGATTGGTTCAAGGGAGGGCAACCCTGCTAATGAGACACAGGATGTGAAATCCAGTTCTCACCGCTATTGGCACAGGCGAGACTTACTGCTGCTGACGAGACACTGAATGTTGAAACCAGTACAGAGTTGTGCGCGCGTCGAACCAACGATACACTAAAGTCAAGAAGGCAGGGTGGCTGATGGGACGTATAAAAAAAAACCTGTAATATGTGGAGAGATGGTTAGGCACTGCCTTACCAACACTTACTTCACCTGGAATGGTACTTTCTACAAACAAAATGAAGGTACCCCCATGGGTTCCTCCTTATCACCGGTGATAGCGAAAGTTTTCATGGAGAAATTTGAAACAGATATCATCCAGACATCTACCCTACGTCCTTCCTTGTGGAATAGATATGTAGATGACACTTTCGTCATTTGGCCACATGGCCTGCCAGCATTGAACCAATTTCTCAGCCACATCAATTTCATACACCCATCCATAAAATTCACCATGGAAGTAGAGAAGGATGGTAAGCTACCCTTCCTAGGTGTTTTGTTTGAGAAGAGACCTGATGGCTCATTGGGACACTGTCTACAGGAAAGCCACCGACACAAATTCCTATCTAAAACCTGATTCCCACCACCATCCAGCACAGAAGAATTCCCTCATCAAAACACTACACCATAAGGCCCACTGCATCTCCGACCAACACCACCTAGCCAGTGAACTGGAACGCGTACACCAAGCCCTCAAGATGAATGGGTACTCGGACCGCATTATTCGCAAAGCTGTTTCTCCAACCATGGAGAAACAATCTGAGAATCCAATCAAAACCATCACTTTACCATACATATGTAGTGGTTGAACTTTACACGAAAAACTTTTGTCTTTCTTCAACCACTTATTTATTTTCATCGTTTTACACGTTCTCCAAACTCCACCGTATCCTGGACACAGCGGCTCGATCACCGTGATTCGGCCGTCTCGCTCACCACCTTGGTTCCCAGTATCACGTCGCTTTGCTCCGCACACACGTCTCCAACTCTATTCCTACGCTCTCTCCACTGCTGGCTATCCTCAGCTCCTCCGCTATACAGCGTCGTCGCACACAGCGAAACCCAATCTCACTTCTCTGTCTCCGCACACCTCGTCTCCAGCTCCTCTATTACTACGCTCTCTCCACTGCTAACTGCTCCGTCTTCTTCAGCTTCGCTATCACCTTGCTCACTCCACTGCTAACTGCTTTGTCTTGCTTCAGCTTCGCTATCACTATGCTCACTCCACTGCTAACTGCTTCGTATTGCTTCGGCTTCGCTATCACCATGCTCACTCCACTGCAAACTGCTTCGTTTTGCTTCAGCTTCGCTATCACTATGCTCACTCCACTGCTAACAGCTTCGTCTTGCTTCGACTTCGCTATCACTATGCTCGCTCCACTGCTAACTGCTTCGTCTTGCTTCGGCTTCGCTATCACTATGCTCCAACTCTCTTCCAAACTCTGTTTCCGAACTCCACGTCTTCACCGCACAGCTCCCAACTCCAATCTCTCTGTCTCCCCCCAATTTATCCCCATTCTCATTATCGCTAATTAATTGGTCCGCGTGCCTCCGCACGCCTCGCGTCTTCAACCACCTCCCTTTTTCCAGACACCTCGATGCCTCCTTGGCCCCAGCAACAGCACCAACCAATCACAGCCCTTCTGGCTTAATTGGCCCGACCGTTACCTCATCACCCCAGCCTCTTCACCTGGCTGTCCTAACACGACCTCACTGTTTCCGCCGTCTCCTCAGGCTGACCCCAGATAAACCCCACACTGTCCGTGTGATCAATACACTCGCGCAGTTTCCCCAGCACACCTTCCTACTCCCCTACATCACCCCCCCCCCCCCCCCCGTGATAAAAAATCTAGCCGTCCCGGCTACGACGATATTTTGAACCTGGAGTAGTGGAGTACCGCGGACATAACAATGAACAACACAACAACTTTGTACAAGAACCGCAACATGCAAACCAACACAACAACTTTGTACAAGAACTGCGACACGCAAAGTCAATGGAAGGTCCGTCCTCGGGAGCGAGTTCCAGCTGCCGGCCCATTTCCCCTACACGGGACACCGTGGGGCAAGGGCGGGCCTCGCTCCTCCGTTAAGTGAGGGCCGCTCCTGGTCCTCGACACACACCCGTCCCTGTCCCAGAGACCATCCGCTGGCGGGACTGTCCATCGTCCATGCTCGGGCCGGACAGCATTTCGAAGTTGCGGCCCCGCAAGCGGCGTCCGGCCAGCAAACCTGCCCAAACCCCCTCGTCGAGTCAATAGAGATGGTCCTGCAGGCACACGGGGGGCAGATTTCTGAGGCGCGTACACATGCGACCTCCTCACAGGCTCGTCGGACACATCTAATACAGGCCGCTCTGGGATGGGAGATGACGGATCATACGGCAATACAAACTTCTTAAGGCGCGACGGGTGAACATACAATGTCCAACGACTGAATCGAATCCGTACACTTTGATCTCGGAGAACCTCAACAATCTTAACGGGCCCCTGCCAGGGCCGATGGAACTTTGGGGATGTTCCCACTGGTACCATGGGGCAATGTAACCACGCTTTATCCCCAACACACCACGGCTCTCGAGGCCGCTGCGTTCCATGCAACCGTTCATTGGCGGCTTGTCGTCGCGCCGTGTTACTCAACGTGGCCTCCCGAGTCTCTCTCCGTGCACATTCATGGCATGCTTTTACATATCGCTGAACATCGTTATACATTCCCGGCCAATATAAATCTTTTCCCAAATTCAACGCGGTCTTCTTCTCCCCCAAATGCATCAACTTGTCATGCGTATCACTAATGAGTTTCCCGCGCAACACAATCGGAACAATAATGCAAAACTTCTGTGCTTCAACATCCCAGAGAACGAGGAGACCATCGATAAGTTTTAGAAAGGGGCGATCTTCCGATCCCCTTTAGCGAGAGGCACGCAGCCTCATCCTGGTCAGGGAGGAGTCATCCACCTGCAATCGTTTCCACTGACCCAACGTCAACCCCAGCAACCCCGATTCCACCGCAGGAATCGCTTCTGGCCTAATTGAATCCGCTGCAGCGACCATTGATGGAACGTCCTGCAGCGGCGGAACGCAACGCAGCGAGCCCTCCGGACACTGACATGAGTCAGTCGGTCGCGGCAATCTCGATAATGCAACAGCGTTAACATGATGCGTCCCCAAAAATTTCATACATTTCCTCGATGGCAATTCCAAACACCCCTTCTCTATCGAAATTTTAAGCGGCATCCTTCGCAAAAAATCCGTGCCCAGCAAACACGGTACCGCCAAGGCCGTAGAAACCAAGACATTCCCCGTAACGCTCACTTCCCCAATTTGAATCGTCGCGACCATACAACCCATAATACCAAGGCTGCCACCGTTTGCTGCTATGCATGGCCCATCTACCGGTTCCAGGGTCCGGGTCGACGTTGGCAGTGATCGAAAAGTTTGTAACGAAATAAGGGTCGCAAAAGCCCCTGTATCAACAATAACCCTGACCATTACTCCTTGAATACGTGCCATCACATCCGACGACCCCGGCGCGGCGCTCAACACACTATGCACCAACGTGCCCTACATGTCTCGACCTTGCTCAACATACGAATTTGATGGGAACGGGTGAGATGACGCGGATGGGTGACGTGGAAAGAGCGGTCGTGTATTGAATGTATCGCGACTCACCCGGAATCCTCGGTCCTGGGGAAATCTCCAGTCGTAGCTGGTCAGCGCCCTTGGAGGGCCGCCCCTGCGCCGCCAGCAGTCGCAGGCGAGATGTCCTCTCCGTCCGCACTCGTAGCACGTTCGCGGCGTGCCACCTCCATACACCTCGGGACGACGCAGCATGCCCGCGGGTGGCACCCCAGCCGCCGCTGCAATCGGCGGCGCCTCGTTCACCGCCACCGCGCCCTCGGCCAAGGCAGCGCTCATCAGCAGCGGCTGCACACCCACCACCGCTGGCTCATCTCGGAGGTCGAGGTTGACTTGGATGTTCCTGGCGATCTGCAGAGACGACATGCCGTCGTCGTCGTTGCTGTCCGGGAGCGAAAGGACAATCCTTAGCTCCTTCGACAACTGCAAAAGTTTATCTTACAGTAAGGAATCCAGGGCCTCTTGGTCCATCGCCGGGTATGCCACTTGAGCGAGGGCCAACAAGGCACTTCGGAACGCAAGAGGGGATTCCGTGGCCTCCCGCTTCCTTTGCTGAAATCTACGTTTGGCGACCGACCGCGGCTCATAGACCTTTCTCATTGCCGCGAGTGCCCCGTCCAGTGTTGACCTGACGGCGGCAGGGAGCCCATTAAATGTCGCCAAAGAGTCATCATCGAGGGCCGTCGGCAGTGCCCGCAGCGTGGCACTCTCAGTCCACTCCAGAGATTCATAAGCCGCACGGAATCGTCGTGTAAACGCCGTCCAATCCCCAACTTTGGCCTCGAACCGCTGCACATGAAGTCGCCGTGCCGTTCCCGACAGCTGCGCTTCCTCGTCGTCGGATTCCTCCAATCGCTCTGATTCCGCAGCAACCTCTGCTGGTCGACTTGACACCG